AGGGAAAGACCGCTCAGGGGAGTCCTCACCAGGCAACCATCTGTTTGCAAAGCAGGATTAGGGAAATTCATCAGGCTTCCAAAAAAGTAAAAACATTTCTTTCATGGTCACAATAAAGAGAGAAAGGCAATGTGGAAAGGTAAATTATGGGAGATTGGTAGAGATTAAGGAAGCTGATGAGTTGTGATCTCACTAAGCCAGCAATATATTTCCAGGAGAATAGCTCCTCCTGCCCACCTCTGGGCTGGTTCCTCCCCAGATTCTTTGTTGTGCAGAAAGCCTGGTCCTAAACTTAAATTCTTCCAGCTTAGCCTTGTTTGACCAGTAATGCTGCCTTTGGAGGGACATTAGCTCCTAAGTCTCTTCATGCTTGGTCACGCAGTGTTCCTGGAACTGGTTTCCAATCTCTTTGTTCTTGGTTGTGGGGTGGATTTTTATGTTATTTTTCTTCTTGTTTGCTTTTTTTCCTTTTCTTTTTAAGGAGCAAGGCAGAAAGATTTCCAGCAAGTGTACTTAATGTCACTGTATTTGGCAAGCACTGTTGACTTCCTTCCTTATCCAACTGTGCAAAATTGAAAAGACAGTTGAAAAAAAAGATTGACTTCTGGAGATTTTCCCTGAACCCAGTTTTTTAATGAAAAATTCTCTGGAAAAGAGGTTTATTGCTCAAAGCCCTACTCAGAGCAAAAACCCTTTTGCATGCCACAGTTGCTGGCATGTATTGCCTTTTTCATTTCCAAAATTAATCTTACTGTATTCGTTTTCTTGGCAGAAACATTCTCAGTACATGTATTTATGAACCCCGGTTGCCCCTTGAGAACATCAGATATAACTACTGCTTTTCTTTGACCTAAATGGTACATTTTAATTTTGGATCCAGTTATGCCAGGCACAGGGAGAGAAGCCTTTGCTTCAGGCCTTCACTGGCCTTCCAGTTCAAGGGCCGTCTCTGGAGGCTTGTGGGGAGAGCATCTGATCACCGCCTTGTATTGGCACACCTAGGGAAAGCAAAAATTGACCTGCAAAGCCCTAAGGATGCCCAGATGAGCACATGAAGAAGCATGATGTCTCCACTTAATTTCTTTGTAATATAATCTCTTGTTCCCTTCCACACTCTACTCCTTTCCAGATTTTGCCCTCAAGGTACCTACTTTGCTGCTAATGTTGTTATAATTACAGCTAATTGGAAGAAGAGGAGGGAGAAGTGAGGGACTTTCCACTGAAAATAATGACATCTATAGGGAGGGGGGTGAAAAATGAAAAACTGAAAAATGGATTTGTGGAGGTCTTCAATGAAAACCAGACAGGAAAAAAGTCAATTAACTGACATCTTAATTTTCCTGGAAAAAATCCCAGACCCTCAATATTTGTGGTATTAGCCTGTCCTCAGTGCATACATTACATTAGAAATTATCAGAGCTCCCAACCAGTCAAGACAGATTTAATTAGCAGCTTGCCATTGCCACTGGGAATGCAAATGTGATTATTTTCAGGATTTTTACCGATACAACTGGATTTCTGCAGTGTAGAAAAGAGGCCATTAGCACACCTTTAATTTCCAATTCCAGAATGTGAGTAGTTGCCTTTTCTTAGAAATGTATTGCTTTTAAAAGTCAACTTAAGCTAAAGATCACAGAACATCTTGTAGTTTTTCAGAGTGCCAGGCAGAAAAGTCTCATGTGAAGAGGAACAGAATATGTAATTTAAACAGTTGCACAATTTGATAATTTTATTTCTATGAAACAACATATCGGGATTTATCGTTCAGTACCAGTTAGATTTTAAATGGCTTCAGACACTGGCATTTTTTCTCCCTTTGAGAATAAAACATAGGAAAGAATCAAGGCATTTATGGGAACTTGCCTGAAAATAGACATCGATGGGGGTGTTCTGCTGATAGGTGACATGGTGGCTGTTCTCATATCATTTTTAGTCCTGATGACTTGATGAAGCATCTGCCTGTGATCTGGAAATATCCTTAGTTCCTCACTGATCATCTAAAGGAGCAATGTAAATGTCCATTCTGTTCCATTTGCTTTTTAAATTAGCAGCCAGTTCCTACCTACCCTGGCTATAAGGAATCCACTTTCCTTTGCCTCTTGTATGTTTTAAGTGTAAAAGTACTCTGTGCTGGGCTCTGAAGCCTGCCTGTGCTGCAAAATATACAGAAGGTTTTCTGAATGGTTAATGCCATCCTAGGTGAGAGACACTCTTCCATTCCTGCACTGCTGTGGAATCTTCTGCTGTGCATCATCTAGGCAAGAATTTTAGGAGCCAAAAGCATCTTGGCATAAGCAGGGTGACCTCAGTGTGTCCCTCTGGGACTCAGGACTGGGAAGGAATAAAAACAATTAAAAGACATCCCCATGGTATAGCTGCCTGAGGTGTTTGAATATCAGAGTCCTCTTTTTCCACCACCCTCTGCTCCCCCATTTTATTGTTATATGCATAACAAAATTTGATGTAAAGCTTGGAAGCACTTTTCTTCTTAGAAAATTTTGTTTCACCTTCTTTGCTGTTATAGGCATCTATTTTATGTGGAATAAAATGGACACGCAAGTACCTTGATTTATCTTTCTTGCACAAAGAACCAGTCTGCTAATTTTTGTTCTTCCTGGCTTCTGTGAACAAATAACATGAATTTTAGTTGTGGTACTAGCCTGCAAGGAAAAGGTGTCACAAAAATTTGTGATTCATGGTACTGCTGCTTGCTACAAATGTGGACCTTTGGATCAAATTTTCTTCCATATACATTTTGAATATCATCAGCAATGTGGGTTTGGAAGTGAATGATGGGGTTACTGAGCTGCAGAGCAATTCTCCTAGGCAAATTCAAACCCCGCTGGAAATATTTCACTCTTAATGTTTCTCTTTTAAGTGAAATACTGTATGTGCTAGTGTGTGTGCTACTAGTGACATGTTACAGCATTTCTAGATCTTTTAAAACTTCAGGAAGGAAGTATGTGTTACTCTGGCCATAGTATATTTCCTTTTTTCAATTTTATTTTCTTTTCCTAGCTCCAGTGAGTTACTATCAAACACATCTTTGAACCACAGACACCTACTTAGCTGTAGGTACTGCTACTTAATTCTTCCCTCTGTGGTACTTACCTTCTCTCTTGGGTGTACCTAATGCTAATTTATACCTATGAGCACCTTTTTAGAGGTCTAGAAAGATTTTATATGAGGGCTTTAGGTTATTAGGGCCTACTGTTTGTTCCATATCAACAATCAGGGCTAGATTGAAGTTGAGAGAGACACTGCTAGTGCACTGTATGATATCCCTGCCCTCTTTTGCTTCTTTACACTTAACGCCATTTCTATTGGATTGATTACAGACTTGTAATTATGTACAGTATTGACTCGAGAGGGGAGGGGGGGTGTGTGTGCATGTGTTACAAAACAGAAGGAAATTAATCATAAGTGAGTTGTGTTTCTCAATGTCAAAATAACTTGTATTGATTTACTTTTGCAGATTCATCCTTGGATAAGAGAGCCCATCGCTGACAACCTATGACCCGGAGAAGTGTAGACCAAAGGCTGCAAGCTAGTCTTGCAACTTCATTATTCTGTTTTGTTCTGAGGCTTTTTTGCCCCTAGCTCCTTATCTCCTCAGTGCATGTTATTTATGCCTGGTGAAATCCCTGCGAGGACAATAGAAAAGCAGATCATACAGGCTGGTGATCCTCAGAATCCAGTTATACTCTGCTGGGAAGCATTATTGCCCTTTGTTCTGAAGATGCTGTTTGTGCTGCCTATGAGAATCTGTTAAAAAGCCTTATGAGAGAAGATACAGCTATTGCTGGGGATGCAGAGACAGTCACATCTGGTTTGAATTCAAGAGCTTATAAGCCAAATAATGTGATTTGTTTGTTTGTTTGAGAGTTATAGTCTTTTTTATTTGATTCCAGGGAATGATTTCTTTATATACCATCTTGAATTCTGTCCTCTTTTTCTTGATTCTTCGCTAGAAGGGAAATCTGTTTCACTCTTTTAACATATTTCTGTAATTTTAAGCAGGGCACTGCTGATGCCAGGCCAGGTAGGAAGAACCTGTTCCCCTTTTTGAGTCAGGGCCAGCCCTCCTTTTGTTTTGGCTTCAGAAGAAATCTAATCACAGTTTTTTCTGTGTATGCTTGTTTGGATCAGAAGAATCTGAATAGATATATTTAATGGGTTTAACTTCGTACTGAAAATGGCTTTATATTTCCAAATTATTCTTGTAATGCATCTGAACATCACCGTGTAACCTCTAACCTGAGAATAAAACCTGGCTTTTTAAATGAAATTGTATTTAGATCATTATTTATTTATTTATTTATTTTTCAGGAAATTGTGGTGAGTGAGTGTTCAGCAAACATTACTTGATAATCTTGAGAATTTGCCTCTCCCTTTCATGTTTTTAACAGGGCAGCTGTTGGGAGACAGGTACCTGCACCTGCTGAGGTCCCACCTAAAAGAAAGAACTGAGATTTTTGCACCATAAGGCTGCATGAGATGTCCTGTGTGCTTTCCTCATAGCTCAGGAGTTAGTTAAGAGTTCAAGTTTCCACACAAACAGCTTACTGAGCCACGAAAAGACAGAGCCATCAGTAAAGAGATCTCCTGCCTGTGTCATTTCTGCTTTTAGAACAGGTATTTCCATTCCCATCAATGTACAAAGGTCTGTGCATGAAAATAGTAAAACGGGATTAAACATGTTCCGTGCTTGATTTTGGACACAACAGTCCATGGCAAAGGATTTTTCTGCTGTCACATTTTACAGCAATGCTGCTTTTGCTTACACTGATCAAAGAAATGGAGCTCTTAACTCAGGAAGAACAAGAGCAAAGCACTGAGTGAACCAACCTCTGGGTAGAAATTGCTTTTCCATGAACTACTGGAAATTAGAATTTGACTGGAACATTAGCTACAGAATAGACTCCAGAGTCTCTGTTAGAGAGAGAGGAGTTTTTATCTATGCATGAATTTGAGCTGGCTGACAGACACTGTAGCACCAGATAGCTTAACCAGCAAACAATGTAACTGTGCTACCCCTGATTAGCGATTTGGCTAATAAGGGTGAGATCATGGAAAATGCTAATGTGCTGCCTTCGGAAAATCCAATTATAATGTAACCCAGTTCAATGCTAGCTCTCAGCAGGTGACTAGTGCTGTGGGCAGAGCACCCTGCACTCAAAGCTGTCGTGAATCCTCAAAACAGACAAGCTTCTGTGTGGTTGGTGTGGGAGGCAACAACCCCCCATTTCATTAATTTCCTCTGTGTTCCCTCAACTGATGGCAAAGGTTTCTGCCTTCCATTTGTGGTGCTTAACTCATTGTCTGACAACTTTTGCAGGCATTATCTGGCCCAAGCGGATGATTCAACATGGGCTGTTCACAGGCAGAAAATAATTTGCAGGGCTGTCTTTTTTTTTTTTTTTTGCCTCATTTGGGTCTTCCCCCCCCCCGTTTAGTCACAGGCTTTTAATGTTTGGCTGTCTTGGGCATTTCGGGGGTGTTTTTTTTTTTTTTTTTGCCTCATTTGGGTCTTCCCCCCCCCCGTTTAGTCACAGGCTTTTAATGTTTGGCTGTCTTGGGCACAAGACTGTAAACCTTGACTCACACAGATCCTAACCATGCAAAGTGTGGGTTATTCCTTGTATAATATGATAAGAGAATTAGTATATTTTAAAATTTATATGAAGTGCCTGTACAGTGGATTTTCCTCTTGGTTTTCCTTAAATGATCTATGTTTCCCAAATGCAGGTGCTGTCATCTGTTTGAAATAGCATTGTCAGACTGAAACAGCCCCAAAGAATATGCTTTCTGCACTGATATGGACAAGATTCTGGGGGTGAGTTATTTTAGTTAAAATCGATCATAGTACTTACAACAGACATTTTTCCTTATTCAAGCTTTGGCCAAACTGGGTATCAGCACTCTCAGTTCTTCCTCTGGCCTTTTAAAGAGCCTTCTGGCATTTCCCAATCTTTGTTACATATTTTATTTTCCAAACAATTTCCAAATTTTCCATCTGATTCTTGATATTTGGCTTTTTCTGATGTTTTTGTGTTATCAGTGGTGAGTGGACCAATTTCACAGTAAGGGCTAATGTGTTTGTAGAAAGCTTTTTTTGGTTTTTTCCTTCCTTTTCTTGTAGAAACTGCTCAAGTTTTGAGAATGTTGGAATTACTATGCACATTGCAAGAGGAGTCATTCATATGCAGAGAGTAAATTTCTTTTCCTACCATACCAGGCATTTATTTGAATACCCAAACCTGTAACAGCAGTAATGAGGTACACCCACAGTTTCTGCCCCTTCATTTCCTCTCTTAAGGTGGTTTGGGAAAACAAAACAAACATAAAGTGATTTTTCTGTCAAAACTTTTCAGCAGTTTAAGGGGATGTTTTCACTTGTCTAGCAGAAGCTGACACGCCCTGCATTGATGCTGGCCAGTCTGCCCACCTGGTGAGATGTATCAGGAGCACTTGACTTGTATCCCTGTATGACTGTCATAAGGACTCAACTGCCATATTAAGAACACTTAAAAGGGGATGAAGTTTTAGGTACAGAATAAGAAACTGACCCATAATGAAACTGATTACTCAGCATGTTAAAATGATGGGAGGGGTCCAGGCATGCGTTGGGTTCAGCCCTTGAAAAGCCTTCTTACTTGGTGGGAGCACACAATGACACGAGTTTGTACAGATTTTGAATTGTGAGTTATAACATCTAATAGACACACAAAATTTTATTAAATAACATGTTCTAAAGAACATTTTATGTATGTTTTGACGTGGCTTTCTGTAGACTTTTCTTCTAAACCAAACTCTTCCCATTTGGTTGCAGCATTATGCACCAAGCATGTTATGGAGAAATTTTCATTGCTAGGAATGAGAGCAAGTCTTCATGTGTTGAGTTAAATTACCTGCTTTCAGTACTATTTTAGAGTATCTTCAACATTATATGCTTGATTCACTAAATGATGTTTTGATTACCATAACAGTAATTATTCAACATTAAAACAGAAGGATGCTTGAACTCATTGAGTCATTAATACAAATAAGGTATTTAAAAGCTTGGGGGTCTTTGGGGAATTTTTATCCCATACTTTTAATTTATTTTTTTTTAATTGACCTAGCAGATATGACACCATCATTTTGCTGACTTGAAGTTTTTTTGTTTGATTCTACTGACAAAGAATGCCATACTGCAGACCTGTAAGAGGGTTTGATGTTTGCCCACTACAATGAAGACTGTTAAATTGTTATATATAATCTTATAAAATATAGTAAGAACATATAAATAATGAAAATACTTGCTTTTGAGGTGAGTCAGATTGTATAAACAGTAGATCTAGAAATTAATGGTCAATGCTGAGGATGAAAGAATGCATTATACCCTTTGGCTCTGGTTTCTTACACCCAAAGATTTGCACTTCATTAGCTCCACATTTTACTCCCTTCCTGTCATTGCTCTGTCAGCGTTCTACTTTCCATTACAACATGTTTTGGGAGAATCAGGATTACAAGATGCCCAAAATTTCTGGTCTTCATCCCCCTCTCCCTTTCTGTAGCCTAGAATAGAATTAGGAAAAGCTGTTGTAGGACAATACCTTTTTGGCCAAGCAAAGCTCAGCTGATCTAGCTCTCCCTATTTCCACCTCACCCCCCACCCAGTAGACTGGGAACGCGGTTCTCACTTCTCTCATGAGCTGGAAATTCTCTCTTGCCCATACCACCCCTTGCTGAGCTTAGAGAATATTTCTAATCAGGTTGAAGTTTTTTCTCTTATTTTTTTTAAAAGAAAATCCTAATGTTTTAAAAGTTGTTTCTGTAATTCAACTTTGTTGTGAGAATGACAGAAAAATTTATCTGATTTTCACAGATGCAAGTTTAAAGGTCTGCAAGACACCACAGGGTGGAAAGTATTTTTCTGGTTAGTAAAACACTTTCCCACCAGGAGCCAGGATGCTGGCTAATGCTGTGTTTTCACTGATGGCAGCAACAGCTGCTCTTCCACCTGCCCTATAAATGGGGAACACCCAGGTGCTTCCTGTTCAAGGGCTGCTTAGGGAGGAGCAAAGTGTCCATGCTCACTGCCAACGGTGCAATGGGCTGGTGGTTGTGAGAGCAGGGCTGAGGACAGGCAGGTAGGGTACATGATGGGGCATGGTCCCTGATAAAATCTGTTGATTGCTGTAGGAGTTGAGATCTTGCAAGAATTGAGACCATAGGTTGCAACTTTCTTGGTCTTATGGGAGGTATCAAACCAAGGAGGGGCTGGGGCTCTTCCCACGGCCAAGTGAAAGGATTTGGAAAAGGGAAATCTTGTGGAGCGAAAGGAGGATGTGTGCTACTAATATTTGTATCACATGACCTGATTGAAAGAAGTTACAGCTTTGATGAAGGGTAAAGGTCCTTTGTTGACATTTTAATCATCCCATTTGTTTATTTAATTTAATTATTTGGTTTAGTTGAGATGAGAGAGGGAGATGTTTTAATATTCTTGGAGGAAGTTTTAA